TATGGTGGCGTAATCCCCATTTGCATATAGCTACAGGCAGTGTGAAAGTAGGTCGCCTGCGAGGAGAAGACCGGAGAAGACAGGAGAAGACCTGGATCGTCACCGTCCACAATAAAGATATCGTTGACATAAATTATGCCCGCTATAGTACAAGTGCGGTGTTTGCAGAGTAATGAACTGAATTTGATCGACTTTCTAGCTTTCCAGTGAGGGTTTCTCCGATCATCGACCATTGATTTCTTCAGCTGCGTAATTCTCCGATCGTCGACCATTGATTTCTTCAGCTGCGTAATTCTCCGATCGTCGAGCATTGATGTCGTCTGCTGCGTCATTCTCCGATCATCGACCATTGATTTCGTCTGCGGCGTCTTTCCCAGTGTATTAAACTGTTACAGTCACCACTGCCCATGGGCGAGCGGGTAAGGTTGTGAATCGTGTTTATCTGTCGTAATTCGTCACTGTGATGATAATTCGTCGATTCGGGACTTTTATTTCTGTTAGAGAAAGAACTTTTGTGTGACAATTTAGTGAAAATAAGTTTCCTTATTCAAATGATTTTGCAATTGCAAGACTTAGTCATCGAGCGCTCATAAAAGTAACAAATTTACTGTGTATTTTCGGTAATTTTTATTGATTCTATGAGGCAATAACTTTTGCCTGTGCTGGTCACGCGCACGACTAAATTCGTTGCTGTGACAACCGAAGTGGTCATATATGTCACGTGCAACTTGTGTTCCCGCAAATAACGTTGCGCGTTTCGATATATTTTTTCGACCTGTTGTTAAAATTACGGGAATTTTATCTCCGTCGAACTAAAAGACAGACTTTTGGCTTTGGAACCCTTGGTGATACGTGACCACAGACCATTTCCTATTAATGTTTTGTGTGTACCATTGCTCTACCACTTGTAAAGTGTAGAGTTGACATTGCCCTATAATTTGTAACCATTGTATAAAAATATACTGTTACTGATTTTATTTACAAAGTCAAATAACAGGCTTTGAATTTAGTCAGTGATTTGTTAGATTAATAAGGTTAATGCATTAATATTTCTGAACAGTTGCTTGTTCGATTAATAAGATTAATGCATTAATATTTCTGAACAGTTGCTTGTTAGGTTAATAAGGTTAATGAATTAATATTTCTGAACAGCTGCTTGTTAGGTTAATAAGGTTAATGCATTAATATTTCTGAACAGTTGCTTGTTCGGTTAATAAGGTTAGTGCATTAATATTTCTGAACAGCTGATAGAATTTGTCAGTGACCTGTTAGGTTAATAGGTTTAGTTCTTTAATATTCTGTGTTGTGAGTTATATGCTCATACTGTTTACAGTGGGTATCGTTACTGTATTGTTTTATTGTTGCTATTTTGAATTGATGTCATAAATTTGATAGTGTGAAGATCAGTGTGTTTAATAAACCTGACATAATAAGTTAAACGTAATATATGGTATTGTCACCTCGTATGGATGAGTTGTTTGTGTGACAGTGTGTGTCCCCTATATGGTATATAGTGTTGATAGTGATTATTTATAAGATAGTGGTTTTTTCCCCTATAGAGCTAGTTTGATCTAGTGTAAACAGCGCCCTCATCACTGGTATATGCCGCTTACCAATCCAAATTGTGCAGCATCAGAAGAAGACTCATAATAGAGAAGTTGACTCAACCCGGCCTTATCCACAGCTCAAAATTGATTTTGTTATAATTGTTTTCTCCCTGACCCCGGCCTGACCTTCATCTGAGCTAGCCTGACGAGCCTGGGGCTACACATACAATGTGGCTGGCTCACGTCTGCTGAAGAAGAGTGAGTTAGGAAGACGTCTCAAAGAGAAAATACTTTCTACAGACCATTTACCTAATCCTGGTGTTGTAACAGCATACGAGGCAACTCCAATAGATGTACCTAATCGTTTGTTGATGAGGATACGCAGAATTTAATCAGGTAGAGATAATATTTATGTATACAATATCAAATTTTATTTAACGCTTATAAGAGGTTTACAAAATATGATTTCTACAAATCAGAATACTTTGAATAAAAAAAAAAAAATGTTTTAGAAATGGTTGATGTAAGTTCCTGGTGCACCATCAATAAAATAAATACTGCATTTATCAATACCACATATTCAGGCATTTTGTTAGGTATTGAAGCTGGCTTGCATTACCATTTGCATTTTTTTTACATGCAAATTTTATTTCCACTCTTTTCTTTTGTATTGTATTGTATCAGACACTACAGCATAGCATAAATCTTTGTGAATTGGAAGCTCAAAGTGTTTGAAGTCATAGTTATCCATACATGTAACATACATTATATGATATATCACTTTATCGCCACGTTAAACTAGCATTTCCCTTCTTACTAATTGTCTTTTGCCCAATTAGAATGCTATTTTGTGTTTTGCAGTACTTATCATATGTTGGATTTGTATTTTGACCATTAAATGATCTAACTTGGCAGAAAATGTTCTCAACAACATCCTGATTTATAATCCCCGGCATTATGGATGAACCAGGGAATAGTTGTAACTTGTAACAGACAATTTGCTTAAATCCTAATATTAATGACTGCATGTTGTAGTACAATTTACTGGATACAAATTGTTTAGATTCTTCTGTTTTATGCCAGTCATCCAAGAACGATAGAAACTTACCACCTACCTACATTTCAGATTGCGATGATAATTGTCTAACAATTTAATAGGTACCATTTACACACCGGCAATTGCTGTTAATTATCAGAGACACAAACACACGCGACACATTATAATTTACCTGCATTGTATAAAGCATCTTGTGATCCAATACGTTCTCGGCCGAGTGATTTCTCACTTTAGATTTTGCCGTTAGATTTCAATTTTGTTTGTCGTTTTCTTTCTTGAGTGAAGGATTTTCTTTTAAAGTAATATCTTTTTGTGTTGATACAATTTTCACATAGTCCTGGAGTATTATTTGCTATCAGTAGGCATTTTTCCTTTCTAATGAACAAGGTAGCTTCCTCACCTTCTTTCTGCCAAATATCTGCCTTCCCTAGACTTGGTACAGGTGAACTATTGGAAACTACAAGTTCAAATCCTCTGCAAATAGTGCCAGGCTGTGATAGCCAATCCATCATGACATTGATCTGATGCATAGTTGGCTGTCCTGATCTGAATGACAATGGTAACTCAAACCAATCTCGTCCAACTTTACAGAGTATGGACCGTGTTTCACATGTACTGAAATCATGCCATTGATGTTTGTTAATTTCACTTCAGTGATGACTCGACAACCATTAACAGTTTCATTATATTTCTTGTTTATGTAAATCCAACAGACAGAATCGTCAGGGGGGTCAACACAACCACAGATCCAACCATTAGGAACGTACGACTTTACACTTTCCCATGTCATAGGTACATGTACATGATCACTTTTGTTGATTTCGGTAAGGTTTATATATACACGATTCTGTACTTTACCAGACAGTCGCGATTCTGTTCTTCGAACAACCCGCACTTGGTTACCCCAAATATCTTTGATAAATTTTCCAATTGATGAACAATTACTTGTACAAGTGGCATCAGTGTTTTTTTTTATCATTTGTATTTTACTACACAGTAGATTTGAACTGGTTTCACTGCCATTTTTGATACAAAAATTCTCCATCAACCTAGAAAGTAAAATGATGGTGATGATTTCTAACAATTTTATAACTTCAAATAACATATTACATACTACACATAGCTACAGATCACAGGGGCCTGACGATCTCTTCGTCTCAATGCATAGACGTCTATGGGACCGAGCGACTATGTCCCGGTACAGGACCTTGTCCTTGCTCAAAATAATAGAAATTATAGAATTAAAACAGTTTTAATGTAAAGCAAGCAAATGTTATTAAATTTAATCATCACGCTTCGAAACCACGAAAATCACTAATACTTGTTTCCGGCTGATCAGCTTGCACTATAAGACAAGGGAGGAAACAAAATGTGCACACATTTTTCTAGCTTTGCCGAAAATCATACCTCAAAATACAAAAATACCTTGTCCAAACCAGTTACGAG